GTGTTGCTGCGATAATTGTCCTTAAAACAAATTCAATGTAGAAGAATTTTATTTGGTTCTTGTTTTGCAATAAAATAATGTGTCAAATTCTTGAGGAATGCAACTATCTATGTCAAACGTATCTTTTCGACAGGATTGACATATTTGATTGACAAAATAAAAGAAATACTTCAAGATCAGATAGAACCCAGATATATTTTCAAAACGTGTACAGTAAACTATGTAAAATCAAAATACTTCTTTACAAGCAAGAAGGTTTAAACAAATCTGTCATGCAAAATTCTAAAATTCTACCATAAAAATTTGGGACATTCCCATAAAAAATGAGAAACTAAAAGTGTAATCTGCATTTGCATGCACTATCCGTCATAGATACTTTGATAAAGCAAACCTATATCTCGGAGCTAAACATTAAAATATGATGATAGCGGTTGAACTGTTCGTTGTGTTTATGTATATATTTTTACTGTGAAAATTCTTTTAAGATTTTTTCTAAATGGATGACAAAACAATCACCAAGGGTAAAAGGCTGGTGAATTTGTACGCTAGACGCGCGTTTCGTCTACAAAATACTCATCTGTGACGCTCAAATCAACAGTTAAAGCCAAATAAAATACAAAGCTGTGTAGCATTGAGGACCCAAAAATTCTGAAATTCTTTACCAAATACAACTAAGGTAATTTATTCCTGGGGTTAAAAGATACTTAGTATTTCGAACAATCCGAAGTTTAGTAATTGATAAATCAAATCCATGATAATTGATAAAATGCAAGAAAACACTAGCTGCTTCTCATGTATCATTTTATACAAACTTGTGTGTGTTAAGTCGGGCTTACATATGTGTTGATCTTTATTGTCTGTCTTTGTTTGTATGTCCGTTTTTCGCAGAAGTCGGAGTAGGTGGGTGACGTGATCTGTTTTACTGTCTATTATTTATAGTAATTCGCGTTATCCTGTTTGTGTATTATTAATTTAATATTCAATTGAAAATATATTAAATATATTCGAAAATCAACTTGTACAATCGTGAACTTTCTTCTATCACAATGATTGAAAATGTTAAAATAACCACCTTATGGTAAACAAAAACATAATGATTTCTCTAATAAAAACAAAATGTATCTCGCACTGAACAATTAATCTAAATTTTTTATTACGTATGTAAATTGAGAAAACATTTTGTCAGTTTGGTGCGTCGATGGTGCTTTTCTGAATTTATTTCTATCAGGAACGCTCAAAATAAAATGATGTATAATTACTTAAAGAACTACCTGACCAATAAGGACCTAAACAAAAAAACAAAATCTGTCTAATATCAGTTTTGTGAGAGGGAGATGGAACCATAGTTTTGTTTGATTTCTAAATGTATCGACGAAAAAATGAAAAAATAAACATTATTGCAGTGCTGAAGTTCTAACTACTCGGCTTATGCGATCACTGGGACTAACAGTTCACCAACAACGGTATCAATTTACTTGTGAAACGATTTATATGAAATGTTCAGACAAAATAACGGTGATATTTCTCTACGTGTCGCATTTTACCAACAGATTCAAACTATGTGTCTTAAACATAAATCGTTCAAAACTTGGGACCAAACGTATTAATTTACCTCTTGCAAACCTAACCCATAGCTATTCCCCGAATTCAAAGCAATTGTAAAGTAATGTTTTGGCCAATAATGTACTTGTTTTTGTTTGACAGAATATTCTCATTGAACCATAATAATCTATAGGTTCAAGTTGCATTTATCGTTCTTTAATTTGTCAAGTGTCTAGATATAGATGTGAAATGTATAAATACAATCTTGCTTAACATTCAATATATATTGACGAACATTGACCTTATGCGTAGATGATTCCATTGATTTATAAAGATCCATACTTTTTTTCTTACCATAGTCATATCTCGTTCTCCACGTAACATAATATGCAAAAGGTATGATCTTACGTCTACTGAATGGAAAGATGACTTTACATCCACTGAATGGAAGGATCACCTAACATCTACTGAAATAAATGTTTATCTTACTTCATCTAAAAGGAGGATGACTTTATGTTTACTGAACGGATAGATGACCTTGCTTATAACAAACGGAAGGATACCCTTATTTCTACTGACTATTGACCTCATTATCTCTGCCGAATAGGAATATGACCTTACATTTACTGGACAGAAATATCACGTTTCTTCTACTGAACGGAGATTTTTAATATAAATATTAGAAGATGTGGCATGATTGTCAACGCATTTTACAAGTTAACACCTAAAATGGTGTTTTATAGAGTAATCTGTATTTGGCACAACTCAATAGAAATTTTGGTTTTCAATGCTATTCAACTTCGTATTTGATCTGGCCTTCAAGATCTGTTCATTCTAGTACCTCTGATGAGTCTTGTGTGGACAAAACACGCGTATTGGGTTTACCAAATTATAATCCTGGTGTCTTTGATGAGTTTTTACAAATAAATGTAACTAATAAACTATCAAATATGGTTTCACTAGAAATGAAATATTTTACAAATTGATTGAAATTTCTTAGAAAAAAATCTGGCTTTTGATCAATCTCTGTGTTAAATCTGGAGTTACAGTGGTGCAACTTGTCTTTTTTCACTTATCAAACATACTGCTTAATTTGAAATTAATAATTCATGTACTCTTTGCTCATTTACTTTAATGTGTTTTATAGTGATATAATATAATATATAAATGACTTTCTATTCAAATTACATTTATTTATCTACATTGGCTAGAGGTATAGGGGGAGGGTTGAGATCTCATAAACATGTTTAACCCCGCCGCATGTTTGCGCCTGTCCCAAGTCAGGAGCCTCTAGCCTTTGTCAGTCTTGTATTATTTTTAATTTTAGTTTCTTGTGTACAATTTGGAGTTTAGTATGGCGTTCATTATCACTGAACTAGTATATATATTTGTTTAGGGGCCAGCTGAAGGACGCCTCCGGGTGCGGGAATTTCTCGCTGCATTGAAGACCTGTTGGTGACCTTCTGCTGTTGTCTGTTCTATGGTCGGGTTGTTGTCTCTTTGGCACATTCCCCATTTCCATTCTCAATTTTATTTACTCGATTTAGTAATATTGTCATTTGGATTTCAATTATTCTTGAACACTTTGCTTCAAATAATATGTAATACGATGTTAATCTCAAACAGGCAAACTAGACTGACATTAGAAGAATAGAAAATGTTGGATAGGGTCGGAAATTTTAAATTGCAACAGGCCACGTTCGGACTCCTCAAAACGTTTGCTGCTATATTTCCTTGACGAGCATAGAGAGCATTCGTACACGAGTCACCGCATTTACGTCCCCATCCTGATCGGACGTGGTTGTGTATTCAAACATTCAAACATTCCGCACAATCAAGCGAACACTCATCTTTAGCATGTGTTTTACTGCCTCATGTGCCTGTATTTCTACACTAGTTTTAGAACTCAACGGTGTAACTTGAACACACGTTTTATTATACCTGATATCTGTTTCTAAAAATGTTATTCAGAGTGTAGCTATCTCCCATTAAATCATACGATTCAACCTTTTTGTGGTAAATGTTCTCTTTGAACAATTTTGGCATCTAAATAGCAGGTAAATAATCACTGAATAATATTGTTAGATTGTATTTGGAAAACATAGTTTTCCCTGTGTATTAATCTAATGTTTATTTCTTCTTTAGAAATGGCGATTCATTTTCTGATTGATTGAATTTATAGAGAAAGGTCGAATCCCAAATATTGTACTTGTGGTATTTTTTTTATTTACACCAATCTAATTTCGATACAAAATACTGTGAAACAACTTTAACAATGATATTTTTGAAATCCATAATGCTTCAGTCATCGACCAAATGCAAAGATAGTCCTATAGTATCTTTTCTACCCATTCTGTCACCTGTAAATACCATATATTTTGATATTCTTAAATATTCAGCGGATTCCATTAACTCTTCATGGTGTTTTAGTGGACACAGATTCTAGCGCTATTATGTGAATATGAAAATGTCTATAAAAACGGATTTACTGTTCTCTTATATACTTTTTACAAGATAAGAAGGTCAAATTCACATTAATTAGAGACTGTTTCACCTATATGCATAGCTCTAATTCCTTGTACGGGTTTTGCTTTTACTTTTTGTCTTTTCTGGTTGTATAAGCTCTTCAACGTTTTGATAAAGTTTTGGATTTTCAAACAGTTCTGGCTAAATCATCGATTATGCACCTCAAATTTTTGGAGTACATAGAAATCGATGAGAAAAAAAATCTTTCCTGAATCCGTTATGTACCCGTGTCTATGAAATTAAAAGTGTAAAACGTAAAAGCTACATAAAATGACAAACTGACTAGTCATGGTCGTATAATTGTTAGTGGGTAGCATATATATATAAATTTCGTCAAATACATGGTTGTTTTAAGTCATTGAAAAGTCAGATCTAAGGCTTGAAATTTATTTTTTTTATAAACGAGAATCATGTGGTACATTTTGTTTAGCACGGTTTGCACATTTAATCCATTTGTTTGATTATGCCTCTTTAACATAAGAAATCATTCAATCTTCCAGAACAACTTTGAATTGAATAAATTGATACAAAGTAGTTTTAGCTGCTTCAACTCTGTTAAATGTATTACCCTTAATATTAAACAAAAATTTTATAACCACGCTTCTAAAATGGTTTATTACATATTTATATGAACAATGTCTTTGATAAACGTTACAAGATTATGGTACATCACCTCCCAAAATGTGTAATTTCAAATCGACCAAACTTCAACATTAAAGTAGATTTTTTTTTAATTAAAAACATAAAGAATGTTACAGAATTTCTCACTTGACCGGTAATTCAAAAGTTTTTTTTTTCGCTGTTGCAGTTGTATATCGTTTTAATAAATAATGTTATTTGAGCAAAAAATCTTCACCGTAAGTAATACTGGATTTACTTTTTTTCGTTGATAAGGGGTATAAATATGGACAAAGTTAAGATTCTGTACAAATACTGCATAATTTATAATGGAGGGAATAAAGTTGTATGTGGTTATAGTCTGCTTACTTGCTTGTGATGCGTATGGTAAGTGAATTAGTTTGCTTTTATGTTTTTATTAAAAAAAATGAAACATGGAAATAAATAAAACAAGGCATAAGATTCTCATTAATTTTGTTTATTTCATATTTCCGAATATTGTCTGATAGCGATATGATAGATTCATTTGAAATTTTAATTTTGTCTACCCTAATTCTACAGATTAATATTTCGTGATTGATGCCTACGATATTTATCCGTTTGACTTTTCTATTAGAACAAGAAAATAGTTAGTATTTATAAACCTAGCATCAAAACAACGAAAAAAGGAAAAGTTTTCTTATGTGGAACTGACACATCATCATGAAGCGATATAAACCGAATGTTTCCGTGGTTCAACAATCCCCCCACTCCCCCCTCCCCCGGAAATAAAATTCTGGATCTACGAAATATTAAAAGATACCCAAAAGATCAAGTTGGAAATGAATAATATAGGATATTTCTTACAGATCATTTACTAGTAACTGAAATAAGTTTTTTTTTAACTTAAAAGTTCATACAGCAGAAACATTGTTCATATTTGCAGCAGCATCGCGGGCATCCGTTGGTACATATAGTTAAGAACAGAACATTAATTAAATAGTGTGATCAGTGTGATTGGCCCATTTTGTTCTCCCAATGAATTTGCTTATTGTTGTGTCATGTAGAAGCAATTTTTTTTTTTATTATTTTAAATAATAATACGCAATTTGTCAAGTTATTACATGGACGACTACACCGTCACGTCTTTAATACAAATGTGTTAATAAATTTATATAATACATATTATCATTTGTATTTGAAATTAGTTCAGTGGTATTCCTTAGTATCATATTTACCAAGAAATTAATGTCTTTATTGTAGAATAATATAACAAAAAAGACGTATATGAAAAACGTCTTTGAAGACTATTACTTAATAGAAATTCTTATTTCCGTGCAATTAGTGGATGCGATTTCAGGGCGTCTCTTATTATTCGAAGTAGTATATTTTTAATATGTATGAATAAATACAAGATCCAGTTCATTTAGAATTTTGAAAAAAAGTTACGTTGCAGTAAGATCCTCACGACCGGAAAATTGATCGGTCATCTAAATCGTATAAACGTTGAATTAACTTACAAAAATCATAACTAATACATTATTATAGTAAAATTAGAAAATCAAAAGGGCATTGTTTTCAAGAAAAATAGATATGAATGAACTAATTTCGTTACAATTTTACAGAAAATAACAAAAAAGTCATTATACTTATATTTTGATACTATATTGCTAAGAAACTGATTTGTTTAAGAAGTGCACACAAGGCCTTTTTCTAATTTCTTACCGGACACGACTATAAGCCCATTATGTTAATAAGTACAAAACGATTGTTTTCTAATTCTTATACGCACATTGATTGGCGTTTTCAAAGAACTAAAGTTGAAAACCAGGTTTAATCCACCATTTTCTACATGAGTCAATGCCTGTACCAAGTCAGGAATATGACAGTTGTTTTCCATTCGTTTGATGTGTTTGAGCATTTGATTATGCCATTTGAGAAAGGACTTTCCGTTTTGAATTTTCCTTTGAGTTTTACTTTTTGATAGAATAAATAAACATGGCACTTATGGGAAAAAATATGCACAAAATATAATATGGGCTTCTTATGGATGTTCTTGTGTTCCTAGTGCAACAGATATGAATGACTGATGATGACTTGACAGCACATGATACATGTTGCTGAAAAAACCTTCAACCTTAAACAAACGGTTTAAGAAGCTAAATACAAAAAAAAACCACCATATTATTGACTTCGTAAAATATCAGTTTTATTCACATATGAACAAGGTGGTTAGAAACTTAATTATGCTACTAGTATAAAATGTAACCCACACTAAAAGGAAGCAGCTACCAATGGTCATAAAATATTTTAATCGAAGAAGCGCAAGTACAACGCCATGAAACAAAAAATATAAAACAGTCCACGAAACACTTCACAAAAAACGAATCGAAAGATTGAGCAATAATATATCGACATGATAAACTTTTTCTGCTTCAAAAATTGATTTTTACAATAGAAAAAGAGAGGCGGAAGATACCAAAGGGATATTCAAATTCATAAATCGAAGACAAACTGACAACTCCATAGCAAAAACGAAAAACGACAAAAAGACAAGCAACGGTCTACAAAACACAACATAGAACCCCACCAAAAACCGGTGATGATCAATGGTGCCTCGGAAAAGTAAGCATATCTTGTTCCTAATGTGGCAACCGTCTTGTTGCTCATGTAAGTACAAGTTTTGTAATAAGTCTTGTTCGGTGTTGTCACATTTGAGGTAATGAATATTTAAAATGTTTAACAATATGTGTACCCAGAAGGATATAAAGTTATCCAGATTCATATGGTAAGACAACAATTTTTACAGTATAAAAAAAAAAACAAACGCAAACACAAAAACAAACAAAGTCTTCTACTAGGGATGAATTAATGCAAATTATGTCCCTTCTAAGGGATTTTTCCTATTGTTTAGGCCAACTTACTGTTCAAAACAAAGAATTTCTATAAATAAGTTTCAAATATCCCGAAGCATATTTATCAGATTGAAAGGATTTATGATTGAAACTGACTAAACGGTTAATTTTGAAACGAACAGAAAAATAAAAATAAGTTGAAGTTTTCTTTCGCATTAAAATTTGTATCGTTAATGTTGTGAATACCAATAACTTCAAAATTGCCATTAACAATTAACATTATCAAAGCAATGCAAAAAAAGAAATAAAAGCTGACTTTAATCTGTAACTAATACGCTTATTAAATCTCAGATTACTGGATCCGCGGTCGTTAGGAATAGTCATTTCCAATATTTCGATACAATCAAAACAGGAAGTTAAATGAACTTTTGAATTTCAAATGAAAGGCATTTTTAAAAAAAAAACAATTAATCTTTATTTACCGAAGCCGTAACAACTAAAGGCATAACACATTTGAATATTTATATTTTAGTTAATTACCGCATATATAAATGAAGACGTACATGTATTTAAGGCAAAAAGCTGGAATACATTGTGGTTGTGGAATAAAATTTAGTTGTAACTTAAGTTTTGAATAAACAAAAAGATAATTCCTCACTGAAATACTATATGATTTACATTCAAACTCACGTTTAGGACACTTATACAATCCTACCATTTCATCGTACTGCTGTGTCATCTAATTTTTTAAACACAATTTATTATTAATTTCACAAACTTATAAGAAAGTACTTATATTACTATATCATAAATAAAATGCCTCATAAGGAAGTAAAGCATTAAAAGTAATTCATGCATTAATTATAAACATCTCGCGATGAAACGAATTCTTGATTAATGACAAAAAAGAGCTCATGTAGGCCTTGGACACACAATATTCTAGCTTTGTAAGAAATTGATAATTAGTCGTACTTATTCGTTAGGAAAAGGGATTTTATCTTATAATCAACCAAGTCTTTAAGTTTATATCTGAACATGTCTTATGATAATATGTAAAGTGTTTGTATTGACAACAACTTTCCTGCTGCGATACATAAACCCCTTACAACTTATCTCATTCAAGGTACATCAAATGAAATGAGATTAAAGAGTATTTTGATTTTCTGTTTTAACGAGTGCTATCAATCGCAGTTTTACTACAGATTTATGTCACCACTCATCATACTCTTTTACAATAGATTTTTAAAAGATAAGGGAGAAGATAACAAGGTGCAACCAAAGACCACAAATTGACAGGCAAAAGGACCAACAGAAAAAGACAAACAGCCAAAATTGCAATCTACAAACAACACTATGAACAAGCATAAAAAGATGAAAAGACAAACAACAGTCCATAAAACACTGCACCAAAACTATAAAAAAGATAACCCCGCCACATTATGTACGTGCCTGTTCCAAGTCAGGAGCCCGTAATTCAGTGATTGTCGTTTGTTGCTGTATATCATTTTTTTTTTTTCGTTTATTATTTTGTACATTAATCAAGCCGTTATTTTTCTCGTTTGAATTGTTTTACATTAGTCATTTGAGGGCTTTTTATAGCTTATCATGCGATCTAGCCCATTGTTGAAGGCCGTACGGTGACCTGTAGTTCTTATCTTCTACGTCCTTTGGTCTCTGGTCGAGAATTATCTCGCTTTCAATCAAACCACATCTTCTTTTTTTTTATAAGCAATACGATAAGCTTTTTTTGTGATAATAAATTTACTACCATATAGTTTTTTTTGCTATTTTTATACAATGCATATTACATTTTAAACGCTTATGTAAACGTACTGTATTTGATTTAGATAAACCAGCAGTATATTCATCTGAAGAAAAGTATCCAGATTCCGATGGTAAGATGGATTATTATAATACATCCGATTGTCGCTCGGTGTTATCAAACACTTTGTTTCAATCATATGTGTTTTGAATCAAGCTTCACAATCATTACAATATAAAATTCCTTGATGCTATGTTGATTGTTGTGTGCATGAAATCGTGAAGATAGATATGTTCACACGTGTACGTCGGACCAGTAACCATAAAGCTACATCCAACTGTTGAAACTTTCAATGAAACCAAACGTTGCAAATTATTCATTTAACGAACAAATATTCTCGTACGTAGCTTTACCTAATGCTTTGAAGCATGCTGAAGGGGAGCATATGATGCATAAAATTGTTTCAAAACACTATGGTTGCTAGAATAAATGGTATCTCACATTCAACTAAGTCTGTGAGTTTAAATATGTTTGAATCAAATTTGTTCACACATGACTGTCTGCATTTTAGTTTAGACGTCCCATTAGCATTCATCAGTTATCTTTCAGCACAGTACTTCTACACATAACTGGCAGCATTTAAGTTTTTATTTCCCGAATAAGAATATTTCTATTTCTATGTCAATTATAATTAGTCTTCATGATTTCATTCAAAGTTGTATACATTAATTGAATTGTAATAAAGGCATGTAAAAGCTGTAACACATACTGCAGCTTTACTAAATGATGAGGTGATCCCTGTCAATCATAGGTCTGTTTCATGTTCCGATTAGAATTGAAACTTAATATCCCTTTACCGTTCTAGATACCCAAATTTCATAACGGTCTTCAGAAACGAAATTGTATTGCAGGGTTTACAAAACAACCAATGAAACCTCCTTTTAGACAACTCACATCTATTTCATAATCAAAGAAACCGGGCCTAAGAATAATTGTGAAACTACCAATATAACAATACCCAAAAAAAACGAATAAGAGATTGAGCAACAAGATACGCTGATCCTGTCGACGCACACAGTCTCGCTTTTTTGGTGTTCATGCGATTTCCTCACTTTTTGTTTTTTTACCGTGATTTGTATCTTCGTAATGGATTATTGAGATTTGAACATCGGTAAAAGACTGTTCCATAAATGAAATATTTGTTTTAATAGAATGCTTACCATTTTCAACAATGTACATGTATATCCAATTAAAAAAGTTTATGTTCACGTACTGTTTTTGTTACAGATAAAACTGTGTATCCAGAAGGATATAAAGCCTTAGAACAATATCCAGATTCTTCTGGTAAATGGAACTAGTATGCTACTGTGGATTCATTTATTTTTCGGGGTACCAATTTTTGTGGATTGACATAAATTTGTATTTAAGAAGATATTTGATGTCGTTGATTTGCAAAAATCTGCATACAAGTCTAAAAAAAATTGTACTTTGTTGAATATCAAAAATCGTGGTTAACCTTTACCCACGAAATCCACAAAAACTGGTATTCCAGGAACAGTAATGAATCTACCCTATACTCGACTTCGTCTCATTAAATGTGTATACAAAGCAAGTTGTTGAAATCAATCTAATTTTTATTCAGGTTTAACAATCATAAGAATATCAAACATTTATACCACAGACCTATAATAATGATTTCGTAGATTTGTGTCCTCTCAATGAACTCTCAGTAATTTTGTTCCGTACTTGACTGATTGTATTTAGCTTTTAATGTCCCAAATAAAAATATACCTCTGTCTATGTTAATGATTATGCATATACATGTTTTTTATTCAAAGTTGTAAATATACAAAGTCTTTGTTAATAATAATCAATATTAATGATTTCATTCAAAGTTGTTTACATTAGTTGAAATGCAACAATGTCTTGTAAGAGCTGTAACATATATTCCAGCGGCACTTACTAACGAGGTGATCCTGGTCAAACATAGGTCTGATTTATGTTCTGCTAAAATTAAATCTTGATCTCCTTTTCATTACTTGATACCGAAATTTCACAAATGTCCTCACAAACGAAGTCGTATTGCAGGGTATTAGACCATTCTAAATTGATTTGTGGTTTAATTTTTACTCGATATCACAAGACTGTCGTCTGGACCATACTTAACAGTCTGAACTTTAACTTGACCTTTACTAGTTTAGTTCTGAATCATTTTTAACTTAAGTCTGAACCATACTCGACCAAGTCTGAACCATACTCGACAATAAACCTGCATTCAGAGTGATGTAATTGGGTACAAATATATGTTGAATTTTATTTGTTTTTAAAGTCATCTTAATTTGGTTGACTGTTTTTGGATATCTTTATCAATAATGACTATTAAATGTTGTTACTGTTGCACCAACAATTCCATTTTCCTTTCCTCGATTATTGCATAAACAATAGGACTGATAAATAACAACAAATTAAGTGTTTTTGATAGGTTTTTGAAATAAAAACATACATTACACTGTTTTACAGTTATTTTCGTAAATACTTTTTGTTTATTTCTGATTTCTACGAATGAATTTTGTATCTGCATAAGACACTTTTATGATTTTGATGACGGTTGTCCATTTTACATTTTACTTTTTGCAGCGAAAAAAGCTTATTCACCAGTTTATAAATCTGCAACAAAGTATGCAACTTCTAAAGGTAAGAAAATATAAGGTTTTGATTGTACAAAAAAATAGAATAGTGCGAAGAGTTTTAAAACTGCTTAATATTATAAATGTCATAGTCGTGAAATAAAAATGAAAAATACAGACTAGACGAAAGCAAAACAAACCTGTCCAAAAGCTATAATATCAGAGCGTTAAAAAGTCAATTTTAGAAGACATGCTTACATGTAAACAACAAAGAACACCGAAAAGGTCAATCAATAGCCCCAATAAGAACGCTCTATATAACATGATGCCTATCATGATAAATATACATTTTTCACACGTTATTTTTAGATAGGTCAATGAACATTCATTTGATAATAATTTAATTTTGGATGTAACACGTCTTCTGATTGGCTGAAAGGTTTTTGTCTTAATGCTCATAGACATAATTTTTGTCATATGACCGTGACGTCATCAACGTTTTTTTCATGATTTACTTCTTAAAAAATGGAATTTAGAACTAAATTATAAGGACTGACTGTTATATTTTTTCTGCATATTCGGAATAACCTCAAAAATGTGGTGCACACTTTCAAATAACCCGCGTATTATTCAGGTTTGGCTAGCCATAAAACCAGGTTCAACCCACCATTTTTTCTTAAAATGTCCTGTACCAAGTCCGGAATATGGCAGTTGTTATCAAATAGTCCGTTTCTATGTATGTTGACGTTTGTTTTTGTTGCAGTTAAGTGTTTCTTTTATTCCGTTGTTTTCCTCTTATAGTTGATGTGTTTCCCTCGGTTTTAGTTTGTAACCCGGATTTGTTTTCTCTTAATCGATTTATGACTTTTGAACAGAGGTATACTACTATTGCCATTATTTATGATGTTATTTCTTCAGTCAGAAAAAATATTACAGTCATTCCTTAAAGTAAAAAGTTTGTTATTCTAAAGAATATTTTCGAAATACTTTAATAAACAAACGTCAGTAATTTTTATGATGTTGAGACGTCTAAAGAACGATAATGTCTATCATAGGCTTTAATTTTATTGTTTAAGATATTACAATTTAGAAAAAAAATTATTCTGGTTTGATAATTTACGTAAATTTTGTTAAATATTTTACTTCTTTTTATGTTCACGTGAATACGTGAAATGCGTTGAACTCAATGTCAGTCGTATTGTACGTTGATTTCTTTCTTTGCAAAATATTTAATCAAAAGTTCTTAATTATATTCTGTATGTTCATAGATGGTGGAAAATTCATAAAATTTTATTTACATATTCAATCTGAATTTAAGGGCTTAGGTAATGTATGCCTGGTACTTTTTTAGAGTTTCGACGATATTTGTTTCGGTAAACCGACGAAACACCAATACTCGGTAATACCACCCAGTTAGCCATGTATTCAACATTCCTGCAAAACGAAGCATAAAGCCATGTAAGGGTTCCAACTCTATTAGATTTACCCTATCCGAAATTTTAAGCTTTAATTAAGTAATTGATTTTGATTCACGGCTAATAACTCGGCCCACAACAAAAGCATGACAATCCGGAATTTGTTCGTCATTGGTAACAACACATTCTAAAAATAAAATTATTCACCTTTTGCCAGCAAGCGATAACTGTAAAAGCTATATTATATTAAATACTCCTATTTCAATTCCCCCTCATTCAATATAAACACATTTTTATCTATATCTTGTGCATTTCAGTTGATATTAAATATTTTGTCCATTTTTTTCTCAAAAATGTTATTTATAATCACGTCACTTAATATATACGATTTTTAAACATAAAGTAAAACAAAACATTTTTAAAAAATAGTGAAAAACAGTACAAAACAAAAAATATAACACAATTCTAGTCTGTTACTTGTATTAATATATAATGGAAGGCCATTTTGTCCACCTTATTTCTCAATAAATATAATGGAAGACAAAAGTTTGTTTTAGGCCTAGTTATCAAGCAGAGTTGGTTTAATGTGTCTGCGTTCGTCCTATATGTTTTTTCGTAGCAATAGCTTCTTTTCAAAGCCGTTATATGCTAAGCTGTTATTTAGGAGCTTAATCAATAACCAGAGCTGACATTACTTGGCATCCAACACGGTCAAACTAATACCTGCTTAAAAATACCATGTTCGTGGACTGAGAAAGTACAAATTAATGGCACTTTATTATATTCTCCAAAGATTAGTTTAGAAATGTTCGTGTGATCAGTTACAATAACACATTTTAATTGCAATGAATTATAGGGTGGGTACCTCTAGCAGAGCAGTTAATCAATCTAAAACATTGTTTCACCAATGTTTTTTGTTCGTGTTGCTCTATCTTGAGTTTGTTGTGTAGTGTTTTGAGGACTGTTGTTTTTCTTTTTGTCGTTCTTCTTTTTCGCATGGTGTTAAGCTTCCTTCGTGTTAATTCTCATGGCTACGGATTCATGCATAGCGAGAGAAGCCTCCCCTGGCAACCCACCCTATCTCCTTTTAGAGTTCATGTGACTTTCTCAGTTTTTGGGGTTTCTTTTGTAACTTTTTTATGAATTTAAAGGATTCAAACATCGAAAAACTCTTGCTGCTCCTCATTTGGTATAAAAGTGAAGCAATAAAACTAAACTGCAATGTGAATTTAAAAAAGGGGAAGTCCATAAAAGCTGATAAAATCAAAGGTTAGACTCTATCAACCAACAGAAGGAATGGAAAATACGTGTTCCTGACTTGGTGCACGCATTTAACCCTGCTTATATAGCTAGCTAAACCTCCCACTTGTATGCCGGGTGTTTAAAGTTCCGTCATAATGACAGAGTTGGGTTAGCAATTTTGTTCTCCGTCTTGTATTTATATTATTTATTCAGTACCTTTGAATTTCACACGATAGTTGCTTTATTAGTTACAGGATTTTAAATTTGACGTAATGAAAAATAATCAATTGACAACGAATTTTTCCTTCATCAAAGCCACAAAGTTTATATTTGTTATGTGGTAAATGAATAATTGCTGATGTTACACCTTTTAACAATACGTCAGATTTAAGAAAAAAATAAGAGAGAAACTAAAACTGTTTATTAGTTTAAGAAATGTAACATTTAAATTCAGTCTATACCTTTGAAAATTAAATTATCAGGTTTGAAGACAACACATATCAAGCTCCGTTTTTAGAATTGATACACAGCAACCCCAGAACTTAAAGACATCTTGCTTTCTTTTTCAGGTTGTGGACCTTTTAATTGCTACTATGCCTTTGATTGTGGATTTGCGCCGCAATTATGCACTTCAAACTGCTTGAAACATAAAGGATGTAATTTGGGAAATTGCATAGACAATAGTTGGTGTTGCTGCGATGATTGTCCCAAAATCTAGTTAAATGTCGAAGAATTCTTAAAGAATCTTTGTTTCGCTAATAAAATGTATGTCAATTTTCTTGTATGTCTATGCATTATGTATTTCCTATCAAATTGTTTTATTAAATTGAAATAATCAGAAAATGCTCAAGATCAGACATATCTTCCACATGGAGATTGCTAAAGATTCAAATATATTAAACAAGTAACAGACTAAAGTTATCAACACCCTTTTCAGCAAATATTAACATAAATAATTAAAGACCATTCAGAATGGCTTTTGTATGATAAACTCCATAAAAGCTAGACGTTCGTGTAATCAGCCATCATTCAATCTATTTGTTGATAGTTTTTATGATTATAAATTCATTTGTCAGATAACAAAAGATATAAATAAAGCGATAATGCATTGGTTTTATATGCAGTTCATGGATTACCCTTGCATAAATTGCTTCAAACACATTTCTAGGGACATCTTTGACACTGCTATAATATGTGAAAACCAACCTGCATAAACCTCATGTTGTTTTTTTTTGGGGGTGATATATTTGTTTTATCCATGTCTACCATATGTATAGTTTAACAATATATACACAGATGGCAATGTTTTATAAAATAAGTCCCCATGCTTCAGGTGCATGATTCCTATCATTTATACCTTATAGAGGGATCTCTTGTTTACGAGATAATTTCTCATTACAGGGTCCTACAACATTATATCTCAAATTAGGCAACTTTGGAAATTTATTTATGATTTCGTTTTCATAACCAATTTCAAACTTACATTTTATCATCGTGGTTTTAAAAAAGACCATGATGTCTCTTTCGTGTAATAAATTAAACATTTAAAATATAGAATATTAATCAATAAGTAGCCATTTCGAATGTGGAAACTGTGGAAACTCCTTCTACATACCAGTAGTTCTAACTTAAAGTCAATGAATATAATCAGAAAAGAAATATTTTAATTCATCTAATGTAATATAAATAATTCACTCCTACTTTACAAACATAGCCCGAAGCATATTTTGATCAATTACAACCAAGCATGGATCGCAAAATTCCAACTTGATTGTAAATCTTCTCTCCAAAATCTAAAATTGTACAAATTTATGTGTGACAGTTTACAAAAAACGTTGAGGATGTTTCCTCCCAAAAAAAAACCCCTGAATGGCATCTAATTCAATAAATAATGTATAACATATGACAGATATGAAACGAATACTTTTCTTGACAATACAGGCATATAATAAAGTTAGAAATTTGGTGGAATGAGATGTATCAAAATTTGTCTACGAAATGCCTACACAGAAATGAAAGTTTAAATGCATAAAAATATAACAAAAATAGAAAGAATACAACATATTTTACTACAAGAGTATTTAAGAATTAAAGGTATTGAGAAATAAGGGGTTGCCTGACAACCATTTTTAATGTATAACCTTGGGAAACTATAGAGGTTACAAAATTACAGTTAAGGTGAAATTTGAGCAGCGAATATTTATTCTAGTTGATTATAAATTATATTCCAATATACTACCATTTTTTTATTCTAGTGTTTCATATACTGTGGATTCATTTATTTTCGTTGGTACTAATTTTCATGGATTGAACGAAAATGGTATTTTCGTGGATATATGATTTAGAGATTATGCTAAAGTCTGCATACAAGCCTATGAAAATTTGTAATTTGTCGAACATTCAAATTCGTAGTTCACCATTACCCACGAAATCCACGAAAATTGATATCCAACGAATGAATCCAGAGTAATTTCTATCTATATATTCAAATTCACTTGAAATCTTGTAATGATAGTCTGCGGCTATAATCTTCTAGGGCTTCGACAGCTGTTTCTCTGTTCCGTCGACGTACTGCCCTTGCTGTGACTGCCTTGAAAATTGCCATGATAAATTCGAACATCTCTCCAATTGTAACGGCGGACAATCCTAGCCATAGTCCCAGCTGTCCACCGACGTCTGAGATCAAATTTTGTGACTAAAAAAATACAAACTTGTATTTGTTAAGCAAATCAAACTAGAATTGCATCTAATTAATGTGTGTATAATGAGAAATAGATTACGGAATACCCTATTAAAGCTTCAATGATCAAGTATACCAGATAATTAATCAGTTATTCTACTTATTACATCATACAACGTTTGCATCGGTTTTTTAGCTTATGAATGAGAAGAGAGTCACACATTTTGTGAATTATGTATAATTGATCTTTCAATAAATACAATAGAACTCCCAAAGCGATGACTTCAGCTTTATAATAAGAAAACACAAGTTTACTTGACTCCCTTGATAATCAGATTCTTCGAACAAAATCCTTATAGAATAATTTCTTTTAACGTAAAGTTCACAAAACTCTATACAGTAATATTGTAGTAACTAAAATTGCCAGGTTCTGTTATGATATTTGAAGAAAAAGTTCAAATAAAATTAGACCATTGAAGTCATCTTTTTTCAGCAGGTATCAAGCGGTTACTGTGTATTGATAAAGTCATGAAGCAGACGTACTTGTTACTGTGTCAAATCTTTATTTTAAAGTTGGATCAAAGGGAGGTGGAAGATACAAACTGGATATTCAAACTCGCAAATATGTAAATAACGATAACCTTAATTGTTGTCGAAGTTCAAATGAAGTGGATGTAAGCAATTATAGGCAACCGCACGGCCATCAACAATGAGAAAAACCCATACCGTATGAATGTTATTTATCAATCAGGACTTGTTAACATTTTCTAACTAGTAGGTAAACTCAAATGTGTAGTGTCAGTAACACAGCCAATTAGTTTGAAATCTGACTGCAATAATTTTTTAGGCAAGGACTATAAAGCTATTTATCCATTGTGGTTCTACTCTTTGTTGTGTATTTATAACGATGATTCAAAGCCGTAAACAATTAGTCGGATAAATGGGAAATATAGATTTTACAACTGCATCAAGTGTGATACGATTTTTTTTCTCTCGAGACCGTTTGATCATAATTTAAAACACGAGGCATACCGAGCACTTTGAATATTTAACAATTAACGGTCGAGTTCTAACGTGACGTCATAATAGGAATCCAGATAAAAATAAGAGAAAATAACGCCACAATTGAATTTTGACCAAAGAAGAAATGTGAACTAACGACCCACACGTTGATTATCAAAATATTAAATCCACCCGTCGGGGAAAGCAAAAATCTACTAATAATAATAATAAAAAAAAATGGAATTGTGTTGTCATTTTGTGTTTTTCCCTACTCAAGTCAGTCTTTTTGAACACTCTTATTGGACAAAAAATACACAGTCCACTAAACGCAATCAAATTAAAGGATGACATTAAAAATATATAATACTTCTACATACAAGTGAAATGATGTTGTAAAATTTAAATAAAAATGTATTCACTGGATGTAAAAGTACGCATAGCACTGTTAGTGTGAGGTTTATAAATCAAGAGGAATGCGACACCGATCATCATGTATATACAGATATATTTTGGAATAATTTAATTTTAGATGTAACATGATTGGCTGAATGTTTTTTGTCTATCAGCTCATAGACCGTAACGTCATCAAAATGTTTTCATGATTTACTCCCTAAAAATGGAATTTAGAATTTAATAACAAGGAATGATGTAATATGTACGCGCGTTTTTTCGTTTGCACCACATTGTTGATGTTATTTCTTCCTAAACAGAAAAAAATAGTATAGTCATTCCTTAAATAGTATAATGAAGGTTCTTCAGATGAATTTTTGTTACTGTGTTCTCTGTATGAATCTGGTGAAAATCTTAAGATTGCTCAACTATCACTGTGGCAATAAAGATTTACTGTTTCACCCAAGGAATAGATGGCTCAGTCTAAAAATAGATTTAAATTCTATGATTCGGGTATATCAGATTAGAGGAATTGTAAAATGTCATCATACAAATGATACACAAAATGTTTTGCAAACTATTGTTAATAATATCAAACGAACCTCATAAGCTTTCTGTTGTTCAATGGTCTCATACATCATTTCACGGAAATAAACTTCCACTTTTGCTAAGTTCTCATCGCTAAAAATATCAAAAGCAATGATAGAATTGATTGTTTTATAGTTTATGTCAGTGTGCGTTTCAAGGTTGAAATATGAAATAATTTAAAACACTGCAAATTTAGAAAATATGGGAAACAACTGCTATGATTATTCATTCATTTTCGACTTATAAGTATGAATGTCCCTTTGACATCTTTCGTTTCTCTTTTATAAAAATATAGAAGTGAACATTATAAAATAAAATATCGAAAATGTCGAAGATTTCAATGGTGAGCTTCTTATGTAATCTCTCCCTGGTTGAAACATGGTTTAAAGTTATAGCACAATTATTGTAATTGTAGTATTGTAAATGCAATAGAATTAGTATCCCCAGAATCTATCTAATTATCACATCCTTTTTTATTTGAAATTCACTTTTCGTAGGGTATACATGGAGTTGATATGCATTTTTGATGTGTTATGTATCAATTTTTAGAAAAAGTTACATACTTTTGTTTTATATCTAGCAAATATTTAACAATTTCGCGATAAAAAAGTAATTACCTGTCGATTCCATCATCTCCCATGAAATCCAAACTTGAATGTTTAATTTTGTAGTCTAGATAGTCCTATTTCATAAATAAAGAAAAAAGAATATTTAAATCCTGTGACATTACATGAATTAAAAGTATTATTCCAACTTTTCTTTATTATCAATTTTAACAATTGATACAATGCCTCTTTACCAAGACAATAATGTCAGAAAACTGTTCGCCAGTTCTCTTGAATTTAAATGATCAAAGACGTTTACCTTAGATAAAGAAAACAAATATTTAATTTTATTGACCGAAGATAAATATCGTCAAAATACTGGAAATTTTTATCGACACCATATTTGTTGAGTTTGCGAAAATTATATTTCAGCAGACAGTCGGTAATCCAATGGGTACTAATTGTGCACTATTACTGACCGACTTGATTTTGTACTCATATGAAGCAGAATTCATACAAAGCCTTTCTAATGACAGAAATAAATAGAATCTTTGAGTTTTCAAAAAACTAGTTAGATTGGGCGATTGAGATTTGACATATTGTACAGACGTCTGCCTATTGTTGAAGAATGTATGTTGACTATGTCTTTTAGCTTTTTGTTGCTTTTGGATGGCTGTCTTATTGACGTATAGAAAGTTTTCAACTGACGGAATACGAGTTGTAGGTTTTCTTCCTGGTTTCTATTTGAGAGGACAATGTGGTGCAAATTTTTTTGTTTCGAGATTCTTACTAGGACATAGTGTTGAATTATACAAGGCTTAAACAAATTTAAATTGTTCAGAAAACAACATTTTCTTTAGCTGTTTCGGTCAGTATTACAAGTTGAATTTTTTTAAAGAAATTGGTTAACGTTGACCACCAACATGGCGGAAGAGGAAAACACCAACTTTAAGGCAATCTTAAACTATATTTACCCCACATATCCTTTTATTTAAATTTGTTTAACTTTTTTCCCTATAATTGAAAAGTTTGAACATATATTACTGTCTTACAGTATATCATCCACTATTGTGTATTTTTAATTTTTCTTTCTTTCTTTCGTCATTTAACAATGAAGATATACATTGGTATTTCCCTGTCAGATTGATTGGTGTCTGTATTCTGTATCTGATATGCAACTAATGTGTAGTCGTAATATTTCTGTTATTATTTATCTGTTGTCCCCTTTTAGTTGATGTTTCCTTAATTTTATAGGCGATAGACGAATTATGATATCATATACCCCATTCCAAGTCAAAGACAAACTTAAAATTCACTAAAACGAAATGAAGAGTCCTGTTGTTATGAGTGGTTTCTTCGTTTTCCCGATCAAATCAATCCATATGTCTCTCCACCCTAAATATTCTAAAGGTAGATTATAAAATGTAGTTTGTTGTCTTTCCTAGTGATTATTAGTTGTGGGTTAATTGGGGAAAAATGCGAAACCCAAATGATTCCCGGATGGCCTTTCCGTCATTACCTTAGGTTTCGAATTTACTTCTAATTTTGTTAGAGTTGTCTCCCTTTGCATCTTCTAAGTATAATAAATAATATAGACGGGTGTGAAAATTCAATTTCCATGATATAATCTATCAAAGTTCTATTATAAACACTAATGATGGTTCATTAAATCATTAGAAATAGTTTATATACTGGCTTATTACTTAAACTGAAAAGAATGACTCTGATATATTCACAGATATCACTTTATGTCCTCATGGATCTCTTTTAGTATTGGAGACATGTGTCTACAGTATAAATGTACAGTTCAAGTAGAACTTTAAAATTTTACCTCGTAATGTTTACTGGGCCAGGTTCCCACGGATATCAGTGGCTCGAACTTCTTTTCGCTGAAATGTGTTAAGATAAACTTGAACAAAATTGTAAAATATTCTTTAACTGGTTAAAATAGTAATTAAACAAGGCCAATCATAGCTGACCAAAGCATTATTCAAAATATGAAGATTTTTTAAATCAATTAAAAGACGAATAGTAGTACTAGGAAATCATTAAACTTATTTAGTAAGGAAACATTCAATTCATTTTTAATTTAATCAATTGGATATTAAAATATTAAATCACTGTTTAAGAATATAATTACGTGAAAATCAGGGGAAAAAATGTCTTTCTAATTATTATTGTAGATCTTGACTTCTGTAACTACTATGGTTTTCGAGATTTTAGACAAATACTTGTACTTTACCCCTTATTTTGTATTTTCTACCGATGACAGCCATTTTGTTTGATGGGTGGTAATGAAAGATGTAATTTAAACATGAATCGATTAATCATTTAATAAAGGTTTCTGTAGTTTGGGATAAGATTTTTGAGTTGTAGCAACAGTTTATACCGTCTTTCCTAAATACATGCACAAATCATAAAGGCTAAAATATCAATTTGTAATAATAGTTTCATAATGAAAGTCACTACTTAATAAAAATCACATGCTAATGGGAACATATCATGTATCAAACCAAACACATTTTTAAACAGAATTTTTCAAACTGTCTTTTATTTTCCTTTGTACAAGATAAAAAAAAATCATTCAACTCTATCGTTTGGATTCAGATATGTATCCATACTTTAGTATTTCGCCGCATGTTCTGATGTGTTTAATTGGAATGATTTGTTAAAGGAGAGAGGGGAAATATGCCAAAGGGATATTCAAACCGAAAAGTCGAAAACAAACTGACATCGCCACAGCAAAAAACGAAAACCACCAAAAGACATAAAACAGTACACTAAACACAACAGAGAAAACTTAAGACTGAGCAAAACGAACCCCATCAAAATTGGGCGAGGTCTCAGATGCTCCGGAAAGGAAAGCAGATTCTGCTCCAATACAAGTGTACCAACAAAAAATTATAAAGCGTATTGTCAACAATGCAATGACACTTAAACAATAATGAATGAAAATATCTGGAAGAAAATCTCATGGATATCCAAAATATAAATTAAATTGTTTTAAAATATCTTCGAAACAGAAAAAAGTTTTTAATAGAATCTTATTAAAAAAACCCAGCAAAATTCATTAAAAGTTTGCTTTTCTGACAATCAGCCCTGTTAAACAGATACGTACAAGCACGAATTTGGACACATTAGTTCACATTCTTGCATCTGATCCATCTGTTCCCAAAGACATGCCTCTGTAAAAATAGTAAACAATACAGCAAATTAATATGTGTAAGCAATGACTAGATAACGAAAGAAAATGTGAACTGCATTTTTAATTATTTAGGGGGTCTTTGTCATGAAATTTCATAATCATTAAATAAAACATTTATTCTACATAAAAAATAATTTGAACTTTTTGGATTTGAAACATAAAAAGCATTTAATCATAATCAGCGGGAATTAATACTATTCTATGATGAAATTTGTGATTTTCTTTTTTATATATGTTGAACAATTTAAATGATGCTAACAGTCTACCAATATTCAAGAAGTGGTCATTTGGCGTGTTATTTCTTCTAGAATTTTAAATGTAAAAGATTCCAACAACATTTCAATGAATTATAATAACCGAGATTCTAAGTTTTATTAAAAAAATTTAAAAAAAAATTCTGAATAATTTGTAATTTATATAGTTCTGTTGTACTTATCAATAAATTCTTTATTATTTTTCTGTTGTTTATATTTTTGAAAATACAGTTAGCTCTACTACGCTAAAAACTGCTCTACTACGCTGTCTCGTAACTGTAAGTTAGAATATATGTTACAGCCATTTTTCTTAATTTAGGCATTTTGTAAAATGCCTGAAAACTTAAGCCATTTTGTAAGATTTAGGCAATTTATAAATTGACTTATTTTTTAAGGCATTTTACATAATGCCTAAAAAAAATGAAAGGCACTTTATAAAATGCCTGAATTATTTTATAGAAAGAAATGTACACAAAAAATGAGCCGTTGAAATTATTGAACAACACAACTGTTTTATCTATGATAATAACTGAATTTTAACGCTTGCATCTAAAGAGATTTAATTATCAAAAATAAATTCAACTGAATTATTTAAATTCCCACCAGTACTGAACTCGACAATTAATTTCATAAAATATTTGGATAGCATTTTTGGCAGTATATCTTTTGACGTTAAATCTGATCTTAGCACTACAGCCACATTTGGTGATATTTAAACGTTTGAAAAACATAGGGATTTTGCAAATAGCACACACGTGATTATTTCTTTTAATGTGTTTCCAAAAGATTTGAAGTATTATCAGCGTGATTTGGTTGACTGACATCTTTTTAATTATCAGAGCATTCATCAGACAATCAGATTCGTCACATAGTGGGTGATGCATGTATAGCAGGAGACGCTTATCCTTTGGACGCACATTGTTTTGTGTCTTCTTGGTTCATTGTTTTATTTTAGTATCAGTACACTACTGTGGCCTTAATTCGTCCGATTATAACGACCTAAGAATATCCTTGAGGCAGTGACGATGAAGGTACTCATATCTTTACTTTATAACCAAACACGACCTTGTGTGGTGAAACCAATGCTTTGAGAATTTGTTTTGCTGTAACATCTGTCCCTATCCAACATACTTTCTTTTCAAGCGGCAGTCAAAATTATTGTCCTTTATCCGATCAATCCATTTCAAAACTTATTTGATTTATTATCAATTTGCTTTCGTCCTAAATAAGTATAAATTATATGCCACTGAACGCTCACAAATAACAATCAGTCAATCAAACAGCATCCTTCTTTTTCTCTGCTTCATATTTCACAATTTTGTTTTGAATCTAGATTTTCTAAAAATTTATTGGTAAATTTTATTTTATTGTAAGAATAATTTGCCCTTCTGTTACCATGACAAGAAAGTCATAAAACACTTAAAATTACGATCTGAAATACACAGGAAGTCCAAACTTAAAGTAGTTTCACTGACATACATACACACTTTCCCAGTTGGTATTTGAAGAATAAACTTAATTTGACTGTACCATTAGGTATTTTCTTTGCAAGATATCATGTTTTTGATCATATCTCAATGATACTCTTTTTCTACAAATTACCTGTAACTAAATAGCAATTTGTTGAATTTTGTTTAAAAATTCCAGTCATTTTACAAAATGACTAGGTATTTTAGTCATTTTATATAATGTCTGTCAATGTTAGGCATTTTGCAAATTGCCTAAAAAATTCAGTCATTTTACAAATGCCTAAATTAAGAAAATGCCTATTAAATATACTCATTTACACACCTGATTAAATGGGCATTTAAAAAGTCGGAATGCGAATTTATATGTTCGAACTCTTTTAAGTCATTTTTTAGTAACAACAAACAAAAGAACTATGTCAATTGGACCTGCTTTGATACTATAACTGCCCTTGAATATTTACTAGATAACATTTTTTTCGCTAAGGAGATTCCGTATATCGTCATGTTATCGGAATTCCCAAGGGAACTTACTGTGCACAACTTGCGGACCTGTTTCTGTATTGTTATGAGTTACACTTTATGACTAAAATCGGCAAAGACCCATCGAAACAACATCTGATTCAAAAATTTAATAACACTTTTAGATATTTAGATGATATATTGGCTCTCAATAATGACGACTTCAGTATGTACACTAAAGAGAAGTATCCTGCCGAACTGACTTTAAATAAAGCTAATACTAACAATGAACACTGCCCTTTCCTGGATCTTGATATCTATATATTTAACGGGAAGCTTAATACCAAAATTTATGATAAAAGAGAAGATTTTTCATTTCCTATAGTTAATTATCCATTTTCAGATGGTGATGTTCCCTTGTCACCATCTCATGGTGTTTATATATCTCAACTTGTTCGATTCGCTCGTGTATGAAACAACGTATTTGATTTCAACGAAAGAAATCTCTGCATTACTGAACAATTATTTTACCAGGGTTTTCGATATCACAAACTAGTCAAAACATTTACTAAATTTTATCATCGGTACAAGGACATCATTCGTAAATATAAATCAACATGCAGACATCTTATACGTTCAGGTATTTCACCTCCAATATTTTATGGTAATATTCTTTACAAAGCACAAAAATGTCGGCATTCACCTCAAAGGCTAACGAAACTATTAAACAGACTTATTCGAAAGGGATATAGTTAAGATACTGTTGTCGGGTCATTGAGGATTGCATATTTTGGTATTAATATTGATTCACTCATAGGGTCTTTGCATCGGAAATAAACACATTTATTCTAAAACCAGTTGTTGGCATGATACGGGTTATGTTCTTCTCATATATTTTATGATGCTCGACCCTAAACGGGAGGGATTGTACCTGATTTTCATATGATGAAGACACAATCTTTCAATCAATTTAATTGAGGTCTGGAGCTGGCATGTCAGTAACTGCTAGTAGTCCTTTGTTAATTTATGCATCATTGTCATTTTGCTTACTTTCTTTTGTTACCTATTCTGACATCGGACTCGAACTTCTTTTAAACTGAGTTTTACTGTGCGTATCGCTATGTGTTTCTTTATTCTACATTGGCTAGAGGTATAGGGGGAGGGTTGAGATCTCACAAAACATGTTAAACCCCGCCGCATTTTTGCGCCTATCCCAAGTCAGGAGCCTCTGGCCTTTGTTATTCTTGTATGTTTTTTTAATTTTAGTTCCTTTATATGTTTTGGAGTTTAGTGTGACGTCCATTTTCACTGAACTAGTACACAATTTTATTAAGGGGCCAGCTGAGGTACACCTCCGGGTGCGATATTTTCTCGCTGCGTTGAAGATCAATTGGTGGCCTTCGGCTGTTATCTGCTCTTTGGTTGTTGTCTCTTTGACATATTCCCCATTTCCATTCTCAATTTTATTCATTTTGTTCGGTGAAAATTCAGAAAACATAACATACAACCAAGTTAAGCTGGTGATTGATACAGAGCTTGTTTATATCAACTGATTGGACAATTTAAAATCTGTTTCAATTTCTGACTAAACATCTCACTCATCTGAATTAAAATTCTTTTGTTTCGAATGCCGTAACTAAGTATCGGTTACATTACAAAATGACATGAAATTTGGCAAAATATTAATTAATCAATCTTTTAAGTCTCTTTCTACGAGGAATTAAAGCTCCTTATTTGAGTGCTGTTCTTTAAATGAGGGGGTGTGCCTTTACTGACTAACACGTCTTATTTGATTGATAAGCACTATCATAACTATTGGAAATATTTTCAATTGTTTATCTTTAAAACCTATGCAAAATGAGATTAATATGTATTTTCCACATTCTATTGTGTAGATGTTTGCTTATTAAGAAATAATCTTTATTCTTTTTCAATTTTGTGTAAGTGCTAACCTTTTACTTTTAATATCTAAAATAATACAGCGTGAATAAAAACTTCCCGTCATTAATTAAAATCAATTGAACCTGTTTAAAAGGTATAGACTTTGAAGGAGTATTTTTTTATATCAAGAAATTAAATATTTATGTCCGCGTAACTATCAGCGCAAACACGCTGTTAATGCTATGTATTTACTTACGTTCCTCATAATTCATACAGTCACAGACTGATGAATTCTCCGGTTTTTCATATAGAGGAACAACACATCCACATTTTTCTTTCCAAATATTTTGTTGACAAGTTTTTGTACAAGTAGCTTTCTCGTAGATTACACCATATCTTGTTTGATACAAATTTTCAATTTTCCCTTCTTTTGCACATGATGCATGTGGCGGCGTTAATCGGGTAATTTCTGACTGCAAAATTAAAAACAAAGTGAAAGATGAAGTGTTTTTTTTTTTCAAAGACAATATTCATCAAACACAGTTCAAAAAGTATCTTACAAAAAGTGAAACCCAACAGTTAACCAAAACATTGCAATCATTAACATCGGTGATCTTTAAAATGAGGGAATATTTTCACTCAGGACATACTTGGAGTTAGCAAGTTCATTCTCAGAATCTTTTTTTATTTACTACATTGCCTTTGAAAATGAATTAGAAGATCTGCATTAAATAATATCTGTACCATACCGAAATGAATATGGTAAGAAAAATTTCAGATATAGGAAGTGATTGAAAGGAGGTTGCAAGAAAAATGTTAAAATTGACAACAAACAACGTTGAAGTATATTTTGACAGACAGAACAATGTGCAGCCAAAATAAATGTATTTATAGTTTCGCATTAACAGGTGTAATTTTGAGCTCACTGTCAGCGACCTAGTTTCTTGATATGGCATTATCTAAATTAAATATTGTTTCATGTCACTCTTTTTTAACATTTATGGAACGACCAACTTCAAAAACCTTACAAGTAGCACTAAGAAGAACAGTTTCTAATAACGTGAGATTGTTCATACAAAGTCAACAACCAATAATTGCAATTAAGGTACTAAAAAGAAATATGTATCTCATAGGATATTTTTTTCATTTAATGGTTGGAATAACAATTAAAAAGTTCTTTCAAAACGCAAGATATAACTCTTTTAATATAATTAAAAGCTCCTATTATAATTCTGTTGTTGTACTCGATAAACCAGAGATCGTGTCTAAATAGGCCATCCTTACTTCTACTGAGTATACCCGCAAAACAATAAACATGATTGAACTTTTGAAGTTTTATTCTTTTGTTAGCTATAGAACGTTTAAGTTGAGATAGCAAATACAAATAGTTAGGTTTGATTAGATAATGTCGGTTCTTAATTAAACACAAACATATCAGTTTACTTTTTTTTTCTATGATCAGTACGTCGATTGATATGTCAATTTGATGTCTAATTAGTGTTATAGTGATATTTTCCTTGCTAATGATAACTAATTGTTCAAAATTTTAGCAATTATATTTTTTTAATCATATCATTGCTAAATATTTTAAACAAACTTGTCAAGCATCATTAAGACGGGCATTGTTGTTATTTCCCGGGGGCCTTGATATAGGTTTTGACAGATTTTCATGTTTTCCGAATTGTTAGAGACATACAATTTAAGCCGAAATATATTATTTTGGGATTTTCATGATTTTTGTATACTTTTTGAACTCGTTGACCAACATTTGGATAATCGAGAAAATGATATACAATATATTTATACTGCCAGAGATACAATCAATAAAAAATTAGTAGAATCAAACTTCGTACTTTAATTGGCCTTTTTACTTTTTTGATTCGAGCGTCACTGGAGACTTTTACAGATAAAACGCGCAAATGATGTACAAAATTATAAGCCTGGTATCTTTGATGAGTTTAGTAAATTAATAGAATATGCGTAAAATACATCTTTTTTATTTCATTTTGTCCTGACTTGAAAACCTGTGTACGTCATTTTGATTACAAATTATGTTATGCTATAACAATTGCTTAGAATTACACGACTAGGTTAAGGGTATAATAATACTATTAATTATCTAATTACTACCACATTTTATGTTAATTAGTATTGTAATTTTCATTGTTATTAATAAATGTTATATAAATTTTATAAACCAAATCTTGAATTCTATCCTAATTCTATCCTATTTTCGGGAAATTTCAGAAATTCAAATGTGACGTCACTTTTTTTGCGTTGATCTCTTTGGCTAACTCGGCTGTGAATTTTAATGTTGTTTTATGTATCTGTTTTTATTCTGTAGTTAGTCACCACTTCGGTGTTATCATGTATATCTATTATATAGTCATTTTTATAAATTTACTGTTTGCAAAAGTATGAATTATTCTAAATACTAAGGATTTTCTTATCCCAGACATATAACCGTAGCCGTATTTGGCACAACTTGTTGGAACTTTTGGTCCTCAATGCTCTTCAACTTTGTACTTGTTTTGGCTTTCGTACTTTTTTTATCTGAGCGTCACTGGTTAGTCTTGTGTGGACAAAACGCGCGTCTTGCGTATTAAATTTTAAACCTGGTACCTTTTGTTACTTATTATTCGTATGTTTCTCTGTCCTATATGTTCTCCCATTTATTTGTATTATAGTCCTGTCATGTAATGTTGTCATTTTAATGTTATATTTAACATTGCCATAAAAGCGGGAGGTTTGGCTAGCCACAAAACCAGGTTCAACCCACCATTTTTTTCTTAAAATGTCCTGTACCAAGTCAGAAAAATGGCCATTGTTATATTATAGTTCGTTTCTGTGTGTGTTACATTTTAATGCTGTGTTTCTGTTGTGTCGTAGTTCTCCTCTTATATTTGATGTGTTTCCCTCAGTTTTAGTTTGTAACCCGGATTTGTTTTTTTCTCAATCGATTTATGAATTTCGAACAGCGGTATACTACTGTTGCCTTTATTTATTCAAGAGATGTAACCAAAATTAACCCTATTTATGCAAATATGTTAATTGATGATTTCTAAAGTTATGTTTTTATAAATAAATGCAAATAATATCTATAGTTTTCCAAGATACGCATGAGGGAGGAAACAGTTGATATAAACTGTAATAGAGCAAGCATGAAAACAAAATCAAAGACTTCTTACCACTTTTAGTCCAACTGATGTCATAAATCCGACTGGAATTGAAAAACCATCGTCTTCTAGAGCTGGAAAGGTTCCCCGAGTGTGAACTAGAACTCGAACTGCTGCATCTGGAGCAAGAGCCGGTATGTACTCATACTGTTGCACGTTAAGTTCTAGCGAAAGTCCTAGAAGAAAAGTTACATAGTTCGAAGCAAGGTTGTGAAAAATAAAAAGTAAAGCAATATAATCGGTGTTACTTATGAAATTGAATATATTATATCATCAAAAGATAGATCTTAATCTTTTATAACTGAAAAACCAAAGGATGTACATTTTGGATAGTACAAAAATGAAGCAGAAAACAAACCAAATGTAAACGAATATTTTAGTTATCTAAGGTTGCATATACAAAAAATGGTAAAGCCCTTAGTTTTTTTTCAAAGCAAACATTAGTTTTGTTCCTCAATCGTAATTATGTAAAGTTTACTTTTTTGTCTCATGCCTTTTTCTTAATTTCAGTATAAAAATTGTCAAAACATTTAACTTATTATTTTTATTTTTTTTATTTTGTGTATTTATGTATTTCATACAGTATTAAGATAATGAGTTCAGTATTCTTATTCATATTCTTCTGTTGAATTCCATAATCATTCATTTCGTTATTATTGAAAAAAGAGAGGCGCAAGATACCAGAGGAACATTCAAACTCATAAGACGAAAATAAACTGACAACGCCATGACTAAAAATAAAAAGACAAACAGACAAATAATAGTACACAAAACACATCATAGAAAACTAAAGATTGAGCAACACGAACCCCACCAAAAACTGGGGGTGATCTCAGGTGCTCCGGAAGGGTAAGTAGATCCTGTTCCACATGAGGAACCCGTCGTGTTGCTCATGTTAGTACAAACCAAGTTATATGTCTAATTCGGAAGGTCACATTCGGGAAAAGAAGACGGGATTGTAGATACGACATTAGGATCATATCCGCTATCATATGTGAACGGATATTCCATAACGGTTACCAACTCGTGATGGCGTCCGTAAAACTTACGAAGGTATGATTTCAACTTCACTACTTGGAACACTTGGTTCAATAGTTCCCTTGTGAGCAGCAACCCTCTATCAAGGAAATCATGATAGGAAATACAAGAATGAAATGGTTTTTCCTGGCTTTTCCTTCATTTTGAATTTTATAGGTAAAATATTAAGAAATTCATTTTGGAATTCCAAAATTATTTTGTCAACAAAGAGATTAAGTTGGATTAAGCCGGATTATGTTGTAACAACAATTGACTAATTAATCAAGATAAAAACAGGTAAAACTGGTTGGTGGAAACGACAATATTTTTTTAATAATTTCAAAGCATATAGTATAAGCACAACTTCTATTATATTGAATAAAGCCCAGTTCATTGATAATTTTCTATGTTTTCTATGTATTGTGTGCGATTTTGTCCATTGTACATTTACTCCATATCCTTTCATTTTCTATAGTAGCATTAAAATTAAAATTTGGACACAGCATTTTATTTCTGTAGCCCTTAATTGTTATTAACATTACAGAGAATTCACAAAGTCTTAGTCAATGTGCAAGAGATGAGAAGCAGAATCAGCATACTGAATTGGAGTGAGTTCTTCATTCTGTAGTCTTCCTTTCAATGTTTCAAGTCGGTTGTCGGTTATTTTCTTTCTTGGTAACATAGCTCTGTATTGGACAAGGGTGCGTGCGTGGATGGCTCCTTCGTGTCTTTAAAGCTTTATCATACTAAAGATGTTTAGCCGAAACTTTAGGTGGGGTGCCTTGACCATGTTCTTCATTTTTCTGTGCGTGCCATCCAGATGATTGGGTGTTCTATGACCTTTTCTTGCGTAATGGTTCCATAGTATATAGTTGTCTTCCACACCCAGTGGCTAGTAATATAATAAGTAAAATCAAGAGTTGTCATGTTAGTATCTGCACTATCGATGCCTTCTAAACCAAACATCTTCAATTGTGTGGGGTGGTAGAAAAAAGTAAAATCACAAAAATACTGAACTCCGAGGAAAATTCAATCGGAAAGTCCCTAATCACATGGCAAAATCAAATGAAGTGGCATAACAACAGCTCTCCGAACAAGTAGATGGATGTCGTGGGTCTCTCTGTATGCTGTCTGCAAACCATGTTTTTGTGTATTCCTCCGTATCAGGGCTCAAAATTACTTGGCTTAGCTTAATTTAATAGTCATATTACTATAACACTATATACACTGCTCATAATTAGAATACTTTTGGATTTATAGTTAATGCTCTTTATTATAAAATCTCCTTTTACATTAATAATAACTTATTCGTAATAAATTTTGTATTTGAAGGTGAATTTGAATGACTAAATGATGATTGAGTTCCCTCCTTTTAAAATATAAATTTGTATTTTTCAGTGGTTTTGAATTTTAAGATAAAGGCGTTTCCCCAAAAAACGTTTTTTTTTTTATTTTCTTCAGTACATAATCATTAATTTCATATAATTTATTATTTTTTCTTTACTTTCAACAGGTAACATTTCCTGTTATTTAATTAGACAGGAATAACTAAAACAACATATTTTGCAATCACAACATTTATTATTCTTGCCATGTAGGAATAGACAGAATATAGAAATTCAAAATGTAGGAATAGCCAGAGAAAGTTAAATAACAAAAATACCGAACTCCAAGGAAAATTCAAAACAGAAAGTCCCTTATCAAATGGAACGCCAGAAGACACCTATTAAAATTACTATGACAAAACTATATCTTGCTTAGCATCCGATCCTTATAAAAATTATAAGATGTTGAGCATTCATGATCCAGAGTTACATTAGAGATCGATATATTTCTTTTAAATGTAACGTTCGTGTCTTGTATATTATTGACGATTTAAAAATATTCAGGTTGAAACGGATAATTATGTATTATAAAGTGCTTGTTACCAAATGTCGAAAATATTGTTTTTGTCATTTATCATGAATGGCCTTTTTTGCCAATGGTTAGTATATACATCTGTTAAAAGAATGTAACTCGATCAATGATGTATCTGAATTCAAATTTTATTATTTTTATAAGCATTACCCATTAATGGCCCCGAGTATGTACTGTACAGTGGATCTTGACTGTTGTTATATGCATTAAACGTGAAACAATTCCCATACTTTACGTTTGGTACAAAGGTAAAATTCCTGGAAATAAACAAAATAAAAATACATAAATCTGTGACAATGATTGCGCGTACTGAAAAGAGCAATTCGAAATTTACTAAGTGTTTGGATTTTTTTTCATTTACATTGGTGTTTCTAATGTCTTAATCTGTGTTCTCTGTTTTTATTTGTGCTTTTTGTCTTTGCTTTTTATTATTCTTCATTCCTTTTTATTTTGTTTGTATAGCTTTTGTGTGCATATATTATGCTGATGTTTCATATAATCCGTTGTAAGAGCTTCTAAGAGCATAAGTTACCATTACTTATATGTTCTGCATACATAAACTATCTTTAAAATAATACTAACTTACCTGACTTCAGTTTAATGTGTTATCATCAAATGATTTGGTTCACTAATATTTTTAAAGGCTATTCGAATATGTGGCAAATGCTTATCCTGAAAGTGCTTTGTAGAACTTGGAAACTATTGTGTCTGTGACTATTAGCAAGAATGGATACACTTTTTATAAGAGTTTCATGGCTTAAAGATGTTTGCCACTCTATGATTTGACTTTTTGTCAGATATTCTGAATCCTCTAGATTTATCCATGCAAAGCAGATCAAAGTTTTGCCCGCCAACCCCTACTTTTCTTTTCTTAACTTTATTACATTTAGTTTAAAAAGCCAATTTGAAAGCCTTACAAAATCCTTGTTATCTCTTCATAGCTTTTGAAAGAAAAAAGGTGCTAATGTTAGATATATGAAAAATCTAGAAAGAACCATTTCCTGCAAAATGTTCAATTGATTAAATCTCAAAAAACAAGGACACGGACCTTTCGTGCTTTAAAGATCCTTTATTCATATACTATCAATTTATTACAGTAATTTAAAAATGTTGTCACTTTGAAAGAGATGAGCGAACATCCTTAATCAAATCAAAATGTTAATTTGTGTTTATTGATGCCCTTTCAATCAATTAAATACTTATTTAATGGAATAAAAATGTATTTATTCACAGTTATGGTTAAGCTGGGAAAAAAGGAAGGTTTCACTTCACTGGTCAATAAACATTTTGCACGAGGAATGACTTGCCTGGTAATACCAGATAACTCGTATTATTATAATTATTATTATAATATTCTAAATAAACAAGTTAAAACATACTCTGGAGAACATGGCATTCCTCGAAACCTGCAGGATACTAGAAAGTCCTCTATTTGATGACCGTATGATTTAAGTTCAGATTGATCAATCTCGGAAGCAATTGTGGCATAACCAAATGTAGCAACCATTTCCTGATCCTCCGTTTTATAAAAAGCCGCTGCTGTAACTGGGTCAGAAAGAGCAGACCACACATTTATGCTATTATTCTTCATCTTTGACATAAAATAAGTATCTGAAAAATAAAATCACGGAAAATTTTTAATTTTTTTGATAATAATAGTGTACTCACTATGTAAGGAACAGAAAGAAAATGTTCTTAAAGTTTGGTGCCTATTGAGGGCATATACTTTACTTTTGAATTAACATCAACTTGATAACTAAAATTGAGAATGGAAACGGGGGATGTGTCAAAAAGACAATGGGTCTCCTACACAGCGAGTAATTCCCACACCCACAGGCGGGCTTCAACCGGCCCCTAAACCATGATATGTACTAGTTCAGCGAAAATGGACATCACACGAAACATATAAATGAACAAAATTTAAAAAAAAACATACAAGACTAACAAAAGCCAATAATTCCTGACTTGGGACAGGCGCAAAAATGCGGCGGGGTTAAATAGATGTGAGATCTCAACCCTCCCCCTATACCTCTAGCCAATGTATAATAAAAAAAAACACACACCAATATTCACAGTAAAACTCTGTCTAAAAGAAGTCCGAGTCCGATGTTAGAATAGGCAACAGAAGAAACTAAGCAAAATGACAATGATCAACATAAATTTACAAAGGACTCCTAACAGTTACTGACATGCCAGCTCCAGACCTCAATTAAACTGATTAAAAGATTATGAATTTATCATATTAAAATCAAGCACAATCCCTCCCATTGGGGGTTTAGTATCATACCATCATAAAGTATATGAGAAACATAACCCATATCATGCCAACAACTGGTTTTAGAATAAATGTGTTTATTTCCGATGTAAATTTGTTATGTATTTGATTACAATTGTCACCTTAACAGGCACAAACAGATTAAACACATTTCATTTAAATGTATATATTATAACTTCGATTAAATTGAGGACAACAATGATATATCTGTAATTTGCGGCCGCAAATATAATCCTTTCCTAAGAGTGATATGTACCTATGTAGCTGTGACCAACTCCGCGTGCAATAATTCAAAGATCCTAAACCAATCTGACAACTAGGCTATAGAAAATAACTTATAATAACATTAGACGGTAATGCCTTTTTCGTCGGCTCTATCTTTGGTTGTAATATGGACACGATAACTGTTGGCATGTGAATGGAAACATTCATTTTATATTTCCTTTTAGTGTCTCGTGTTGGTTTTGATACGAGGGACTTGTATTCATTTTACTTCAACTTTTTCTTCATTTTCAGGTTGAAAATTTCTCCCAAACATCATGAACATAAGCACGTAAATCATATGTAAATGTTCACTAAGAATTGAATGCATGACGAAAGGTTTCTATAAAAATACATTTTGTGCATATCATGAAGAATTGTGTGGTTTTATCAGTGTGCTACTCTATCATTTCATTTTGTTTGCAAATACATATCCAATCGTGTGCGGGTAGATAAATTTTCGAATGGTTAAACAAATTTTAAGTCTCTTTTTCAACTGAAAACATTTAAATCTCAATATCAAATATATGTCATTACAAAAGGTCATATCGGGTTTCAGAATATAGAATAATGGGCAAATAAAAGAAAGAATAGCGAAAGCTGGTTCATCAACTTACTGCTCAGACACTGGTGTCGTTTTAAGTTTTCTCATCTTGTATGATGTATCATTATCACTTGACTTCGGGTATTTTTCAAGTCTATATTTGTCTCTCATTTACCAAAGACAGGTACTTGACCTCTTTCCTATTCATGTTGTATACTTATTATACGAATAGTTAGTTACTTCGTTTACAGCTTTAATTTGGCAGTTTCACCATTTCTAATTATCTTTTTATCTATGATGTTTATTCGAGCTGTGTTATCTATGTAATGCTTTCAAGTAGGTTTTAATTATTGAAATTAAATATTCATTATATAATCGAATCAAGATAGCATCGTTAATGAAGGAAATATATTTTGTCGACTAAAACAACTACAAAATACGTCAAGATAATGATTTCATGGAGCATTAAAAAAAAACGAAATTATCGTATGATATCAGAACGTTATCAAGACTTAAACTGAATCATGAAAAACATATGAAAATAAGAAGATCAAGTAAACCTGGTTTTATCTTGTAATGTGAAGAAGCTTTTCAAAACAAACGAAATCATGAAAAAATGTGACAATACAAAAAATATAAATTGATTAGAGGCAAAAGATACTAAAGGGACATTCAAACGCATATGTCAAAAAAAAAAAACTGACAATGCAACTCTTCAATGCAAACTTCACATGAAAAAAACGCAATACGGGGGAAACCCTGTAAATATGTGAGATTTAAAATTCCTCTAATCGGAACTCCACTGATTATCAATAACACAAAGAAATACACAAAATCATGAACAAACATTCGAAAATAAAAATTATTAAAATATCCCCTATTGTGTATATACTTCTTAATTTGTTTGTCCTATGTTTCTAATAAAACTACGAACTTGAATGAGTGCAATAAAAGTTAACCGAGAAATTTTTTGCAATGGATTTCTTGTAGCAAGTTACCTTTTTTATATATAAAATATTGACATTATACAACCTGAACTATTCAGCAACGAAAAATATCGATCTTACATTTTCATTTTATTTTAATCTAGGTAACGACGCTTAAGTCCACACACTGCCTCCTTTTAAATTGAAAACAGGATTCATACTTTTTAAACACATTCGTTTTAGTCAGAGAATGAACATTAATTTGGCCCCGTTTAACCCTTATTCTTTGTTGACAAATATTTCCATAATACATTTCAAAATGACTTTGATGAAATATCTATTCTATAAATCTGTTTTGATGACTTCATTAGTAAGCACAGAAAAATGTCGATTTATAACAAAATTCTAAGTTATATTTTTAAAATTACTGGTAATCAGTATATTCATGCAGATGCACATTTCAGAACAACAGTCGACTGAAAAGGTTATAAGATATAGCTATTTTAACTATTTTTTAAATTCTGTTTTCCTCTAAGTGATTCAGTGGAATGAAAATGTTGTGATTTTTAAGACCAAAGTGGGCTTATTTTCTTTCCATTTTTATCATTTGTTTAACCATTATTAAATTCGTATTCTTAACAATTAAAAGCATTTATCAATTTGAAACATTGGATGTCCTAATATATAATGTTAATGTGAATGATATGAGCTGAGAAGTTTATACAAAACATTTATGATTTTTTCACATGAAATATTCCCAGAGAATCCAAAATGATAGTTTGTTTCATGACTTCAGAATTTACACACAAAATTGCAGTTTGTTTGACACATGCGATAACCTCAAAGGCAAAATAAAAATCAAAACCAATGACCACTCAATCTTCATATGAACATAGAAAATTTAGTAAAACACATTTCTGTGCAAACCAAAAAGCTCTAGGTAGATATCAAAATATTGTTTTTTATATAATTTATAATTAAAAGATGTGATTTAAACGGAATGCTTCATAAATACATAATATTTATGAGAATTTAAAAAATGAAATGACAACTGTTAAGATCTTATACCAGTAAACAACGCAAATGCAAGGATGATATTCAAAATAATTCAAATACTTTTAATTTATGACATGTCAATTTTACTTAAGGTAGATAGGGTGTCTTCCTCCATCTTGAATTTTGAAATACCAGAAAACAATCGGTCTAGATCTTTAAGAAAATGTGCAAATTTTGAGAGTAGTAGGTAATTCATGTGTAAGAATTTTTATTTCAATATAGAAAATGACATTTTTTATCATATTTATGGTTGTATTTTACAAAAAAACAGAATACTTTTGTTTGATTCAATTTTTTCAAACTTTGCCATATAAGGGGAGGCAACTCAAATGTAAGGGCAGATAATTCAGATAAAGTTACTTTTACAATAGATTGTGTTAGGAATTTACCAATTTTATTATGTAGCAAGAAAACGGGTCCCGTGACCCCATTTTTTCTTGTTCTTATCTGAAAGCAATATATTAGAGATATCTTCTCATATTTTATCTCAAAATTCTATGGTGTATTTTTTGTTTTATGGCAGAAAATTGGGTTTTCCATGCATAATCTATACAAAATCTGTCAATTTTGCACAACCTGTAGCGTGAAAATAAGCCCGTGACCCATTCTTTTTATTATTATTTTTAAAAAAGCATGATATAAACTACATTTTGGCAAATTATTAAAAAATTCTATGGATTATAATTTAGACACCCCATCTACCTTAATCTCTGTACTATGTCTTTAAGGTCTAATATATGTTACCTCAATGATTAAGTTAATACTTTTTTTTATCAACAATAGGAGTAGATTCACAAATTAACCATCAACAATTTCTGGTTATCTATATATTCATATAAATATGGTATAAATGGTTTAAATACGTAGACAAACACAAACTCAACAAGTTGATGTTGTCATTGTGACGCAATATAAGGAGATGTGGTATGATTTCCAATGAGCCAACTCTCCTCAAAAGATCAAAAAAAAAAATGTTTTATTATTATTCTTTATTTGCCAGTCCCAAGCCAGGAGCCAGCAATCCAGTGGTTGCCGTTGGTTGATGTCTACCATTACTGTTTTTCGTTTTCAATTAGGTTTCTTTATATATGGTTCTTTTGTTCTTGTATTTTAATGTTCCAAAATAATCATCTGAAAACTCATTTACTTAACCCTAGTCAACCGACGTTATAATGAGTTTTACGGCAGAGTACGAATGAAGGGATTATGTGGGTAAATATCAATCAGATAATCAAACGACATAAAAATACCAAAACACAACATGAGGTCAAGGTGTAATCAACCATATGTCAAACATTACTTTCGGTTTCTTTAAAACTATAGAACATTAAGAAGTTACTATAATTCCAGTGTTGTGTAAAATATACCGTTCATGCAAACCAAGTTATCATATGATATATGTGCTAGTTATATAAATAATGTATGACATTGAAATATTATGGGTACATAATTTTGTTCATTCTACTTCAGGATAAGTTTTTTTTTATATGGAATTCAATGTAAATATAAAAATATGGGAAGACGTGTTATGATTACCAATGAGACAACT